AGAGTTTGTGCATATCCTGCGTCGCCAGAGCACCGGATTCTCTAGAGGAAGCTCAAAATACAGGGGAGTCACGTTGCACAAATGTGGCCGCTGGGAAGCTCGTATGGGCCAGTTTCTGGGGAAGAAGTAAGAACCCCTTTCTGTTTTTACTGTCATTATTTTATGTGTCAATGTGTTTGAATATGGATTTTTAGTATTCATTTATGCATGTGGTCTAAGTGAGTCTGATAAGCGAACAAGGGAACAATACAAAGAATTGTGTTCAGCAAGGACCAAATAAATTGTTGGGATACTTCGTTTTCGTAAAGTAGATTGTTCGGATGAATTGAGAAATTGGTTTTCATTGGCTATGGTATTTCATTGCTTGCCTGCAGGTATATATACCTTGGCCTATTTGATAGCGAGATTGAAGCTGCAAGGTCTTTACGATATTATATAGGCACCGTTTTACTCAATATCTAAACTTTGAGATCTTACTGACCATGGGATTCATTTAAGTCAGTATAGTGTTGTTCTTTGAAATCAGGGCATATGACAAGGCTGCCATCAAATGCAATGGAAGAGAAGCAGTCACCAACTTTGAGCCAAACTCATATGATGGTGAGATAATGTCTGAGGCCCACAATGGAGGTATATTGTTGTTAGAGAATCCATTTTTGTAAGATCTTTGTGTGTAATCCTTTGTCAATTTAGTTGAGCCAAAAAAAAAAATCGAACTATTCTTTTATTTCTACCAATGTATCATCTATCTACAACCCTCTTGGTACAGGCAGTGACAAAAGTCTTGATCTGAACTTGGGAATTGCTCCCCCTTTGGTTTCTGAGCTCCAAAAGAACAACAGCAATTTGAGCAGCTTCCCTGTTCAGCTAGGCTGCGATGACATTCCTATTCACATGAGAACAAGGGTAATGTTGAGATCAACTTTTGAAAGCCCCACTCAGCTGAATTCACCTTTGCTATTGTACAGAAGTCCTTTGCAACTTAAGCTACTCCCTTTAAAGCATTTTGTTGTTTTGTTTACAGAATGAGAACTCTGCTCCAGCACCTATGAGGGCTCAACTGTCTCATGGCTCAATGGTGGCGTCTGAGGAGCCTCCTATAATGAGCAACATAAATTCCAGTTTCTTTCCCATCCAAATGGTAATTTACATTCACTTCTAGTCACTATCATAATTTATTATAAGAAGTTATCAAACCTTAATTTTTCTGCCTGAAGTATTTTCTTGTTGAGCTTTGCAATGTTTTCATTTGATTGTGTTATTGGTGTACACTTCAATTTTTTATGTTAAATATTCTATCCAATTTACAAAGAATCTCCTTGTTTTTTACATTCGATATTCCCTTATTGGTCCTTGCTTTCTTAACCCTTGGAAGAAGCATTGCAGGCTTCCCTAATATGAACAAATTCTTTGATTGCAAAGAGGGTTTATTTCCTGTTTATCACCAATCACTGACAATTCTAGTTTTGCTGCGTTTGTTAACAGTTCGACTTCTTTTATATTTTCAGGAAAGAGCAACGGAAAAGAGAATGGATGTTAACTCCTTTCCAAATTGGGCATGGCAACTCCAAGGCCTTCATGGTGGAGCAACTCCAATGCCACTCTTCTCTGCTGCAGCATCATCAGGATTCCCTTCTTCAACAGCCACTTCACCACCAGCTGCTGTCACTCAACTTCATTTTCCTAACACAACTATTCACCACCACCATTTTTCACCGTCGACAGTCACCAACAACATACCCGGTTTCTATTGCAGGAGCTGAAAACCAGAACCAGGTGGGATATAACCACGACACATTAGTATCTTAGTGTAGAATGTAGTCACGGGACAAGTAGAAAAAGATTGGTAATGAAATTTGTTTTCCTATGATCATGTAAAGCTAATGAAACTTGAGGATCTTGGTCTAGAGGCATGGAAAAATTGAGGTAGTTTTGCCTTCTTCTGACGTGTGGTCACATTCTTTTGCATGCCTCCTTCCTTTGTGGGGTGCTGAAAAGCAGGTGGAGCAAAATATGTTTGGAAGCTTAAAACAGTTCAATTTCAAATGCCTTTTCTTTTTACTGCTTAAGAGTTTGTACTTTAGCATGAAATGAATGGTATCTTATTTCTGATTCCCAGATTGGTAGTTGCTCATAAAGCTTGACCTGCTCTGCTAGCAAGCACACAGCTAAAACAAAATTAAAATTCAAACACATTAACAACTTCCAGCAATGCAAATTTTCAGATTTGTAAAGAACATAGAAAAGGA